TTTTACAGTGCATAGTCTCTTGATAGCAACCTGTAAGCAATAGCATTTTCATGGCCATAATGTGATCACATCCTTCAATTTCTTGTGCATGTTTTCATAACAAGCACTGTTTTCGAGATGCATTATGGCCTCTAACATATCATGATCCCAAACCCCATAGAAACACACTCCATAAACTAGATTTCTCTGGAGGACATGTATAGCATATGAACACCAGTTTTATTGCCTGTAATCACACAAAAATCTGTGTCCTGAAACACATGATCAAGGTTACAGAAGGAAACAACAAAGCATTGTGTCAGTCTCTCAGCCTGATTTAATATGTATAGAACAGGCAAACGTACTTCCAGAATCTGCAGGGACTCCGTCTTTGGAGCGTTCAGAGACACGTCTGCGCTTCCAGACTCACATAAAAATAATTAAATGTGAACATGTCCGGGCCTGCACGCAATACAAACGACATGTGACGCGCAGCACCGCCAAACCAGATACTCATCTTTTGCACCCCAGACTCCAAGAGGATATTACATATATCATAATAAATGCCCTGAACATATATATAAGGATGGGTTATTCGAGGAAGACAATACAAGAAGCACATTTTTGAGAAATTTTAATTGGCTGAAAATGGACTCTCCCTCAAGCCATTCAAGATGTATATGAGTTTGTTTCTTCATCAGATTTGGAGAAATGTAGCACTGCATCACTTGCTCAGCAATGGATGCTCTGCAGTGAATGGGTGCCGTCAGAATGAGAGTTCAAACAACTGATAAAAACATTACAATAATCCACAAGTAATCCACACCACTCCAAGATGTATATGAGTTTGTTTCTTCATCAGATTTGGAGAAATGTAGCACTGCATCACTTGCTCAGCAATGGATGCTCTGCAGTGAATGGGTGCCGTCAGAATGAGAGTTCAAACAACTGATAAAAACATTACAATAATCCACAAGTAATCCACACCACTCCAGTCCATGTAGTATGTCTTGAGAAGCCAAAAGCTGTGTGTTTGTAAGAAATAAAATCCATCATTAAGACGGTTTTAACTTTAAAACGTTGCTTCCTGCAAAATATGATAATGCTACTCCAGTGAAAAAGTCATCTCGTCTGAATCAGGAGAGAAATACACACCGTTTACAAGTGAAAGAAGTTCAAAATAGTTCTAAACAATTAATTTGATGTGAGAGGACAACAGGAGAAGAACTTTTTAACTGCAGGAAGCATTATTATGGAATATGGATTCGTTTTTTGGCCAGAAGCAACTGTTTAAAGTTAAACGTCTCCATGATGGAACAAATTAATGATTTGTTTCTTACAAACACACATCTTTTTGCTTCACAAGAAATTAATTGGTGGATTATTGTGATGTTTTTATCATCTGTTTGGACTCTCATTCTGACGGCACCCATTCACTGCAGAGCATCCATTGCTAAATAAGAAGTTACAGGTCTGTGAGAGCCAGAACTCTTGCTTGTTTGTAGGTGACCAAATACTTATTTTACCGAGGAATTTACCAATTAATTCTTTAAAAATCCTACAATGTGATTTTCTGGATTTTTTTTTCTCATTTTGTCTCTCATAGTTGAGGTATACCTATGATGAAAATTACAGGCCTCTCTCATCTTTTTAAGTGGGAGAACTTGCACAATTGGTGGCTGACTAAATACTTTTTTGCCCCACTGTACATCTTGGACGACATGAGGCTGAGTACATTTTCAACACAATTTAATTTTTGGGTGAACTATTTCACAATTAATTATAAAGAAACAGCAAGTAACACGTTGAATTAAACGTGAAATGTTGAAGTAGAAAAACTGAAATAGTATTTTCTAGTAAAACCTACTCCAATCATTTTCAACTTTGAAAAATCTTTTTTTTTTCAGTGTATGTGGCTTGTACTCTCTGACTTCGTTTAGCAAAAGCCCTGATCAAAACAGTGAATGTCTCAACTACCAAGGACACAGTTAGGAGCACTAACACTGGAATAATAATTGAGCTCAAAGCTTTGAGTATGAGGTTTGAATACTGTCTGAAATAAACCGACTCCAAACTCCAAACTGGAGCTGGTAGGTTACACTCTTTGTAAGGACAGTAATGCTTGAGGATCCGTCTGTCCCTGCGAGGACATGTGTCGACCTGTCAATGCTTTCACAGCTAATTAAAAAAATTACCCTGAATCTCTGAAGTTTTTGAGTGCTTTTATTTCTTAAATATTCACCCTTGGGAGTTATTATGAATTTTGAGCCCATTTTAAATTAGACGCTGTTTGATTTAGTGTTTCATTTGAAGAAGGGAACACAAGTACTGCACATCACAGCACCTCAAGACATGTTTCATCATTATTCTCTTAATCCTCAAATATTTACAAGGTTGAAAACGCAATAACATTGAAGGTGATGAATATGCATCAATTGATTATGAAATCACATATAAATATATCTATGGAAAACTGTGAAGATGTGACCTGTAATATAATAATGAATACTGGGTTTTCTGCTGCAATAAACCAAATGTGAGAACATCATAAAACTGAGAACATGAAAACATAAAACAGCAAGTATTATTTAAACAAAAAAAGCAAGCACACGTACACTTTACAAACAAAATGTTTGACAAAAACTATTGTGACACTGTGACTCTAACATCCATACAGCTTGCTTTGATACTTAATACTACTAGTTTCAGACTTTATTTTAGTATTTTACTATCATATTATTACAGGGTTTATTCATATTTTGAATTAGTTTTTATTTTCATAATTTGCATTTTCATTTTCATTTCAGTTAATTGTAGTACTTTTATGTTTTCGCCATTTCTATTTTTTATGACTATATACAGTAGTTCCTATTAATTTTATTTCAGATTTAGTTTATTTTAATGAAAATAAAACTAGCTGAAATAAAGTTACATTTTATATATATATATTTTTTTTATATATGTTTTTTTATTTCAAGTAAATAAAGTTCTTTATAGTTTTAGTTTACTACAATAACTCTGTTTTAAAGTTTTTTTGTTAATAGCTTGCAAATTGATTACAAATAATTTAATCCACTTGAAATATTTACAATTATTCCTTAAGCTCAACATCCTCCAACAGATCTGACCGTGTTTGCCTCTCAGAAATGTGAATCATTTTAGCAGCTCACCACTTGTCACAGCTTAAACCGCCTTAAAAATACATCCAATTTGTGGTCCCGTTTTAGACACGGCGCAATGGTAATAGGCGTCCACACTTCAGATGAAAAAGGACAACAGATGTCAGTGTCAGAGATTTGATGGTGCTTTTCACTGAACCCGTGACAAACCGTGTTTCGTCTCCCTTCAGACGCTTTTGTTTTCATTTCAGTTCTCTTAGATTGGGCCTCTTGTCAGAATTTGGCCCTTGTTTTATTTATGACCCCCTACTTTGCATCACGGTGCCAGAGAATTGCCACTGGATGCAAAATTGACACCATGCATGCATTTTTTTTTACCTAACAGAGAAATAAATATCAGTGCATGTTTTTTGTGGTTTTGATGATATTGTTGGCTTTGTATGTTACATTTTAATGAATGCATAATTACTCAAATGTTAATACATGCACATCACTGTCAAAAGGAAGCACAATTTTTTTTAGGTCTTAAGCCTTAGAAGTGCATCTTAAAATACCCCCTATGTAGGCAGCTCAGTAGGCTTTGGAACAGAGGCGAAAAAATGGTCTATGCATTGGAATAACAGTGTAAATGAATCTTTTATTTCATTTTCTCTACATCATGCATTTACAATGTGATGTACCATTGGTCCTCCTCCAGTTTTACGTCTTCAAGGTATGTCACACTTTTGAGCAGAAGTCAGTTTCATGTATACCAAGCAAAAAATGGTACACAAAGATAAAAAATAAAAATAAAAACCTAACCTAGGAAGAAACACATGCTGCAACTCTCCTCTACTTTTTTTCCAATAAAAGCCCTTTCACATGATTCGCGTTCGGTTCCCCAATGCATCAAAATCAATGCAGCGAAGCGTCAAACTACAGCATTAAACCGCATCCTGAGCAGGTGCAATAAGTTTCTAACAGTAAGTAGTTTTTCTGTCCTCACTGAATGCAAGAATGCTGTGCAATGAGACACAATCCCAGGCATTAAAGATTGTATTTGAAAAACAAGATGGACGATAGACTGATGTGCATATTTGGATCTGGTACACTGAATGCATATCATGACATTCAGAGAAAAAGTTAGACTTGCCTTTGTTTCCTTTCCCCAATGCATCTAATCAAACGCTAGGACCTTCTGTTCTAGGATCAGATATTTTCACTATTTCCACACGTCATGCTTTTTTGCAACCTTGTCAAATCTGCCTTCAGCAAAACAATCAGCAAAGCTTTTCACGTGGAGGAACATCGCACAGCATTGAAGCCGTGACACAAATCATGTGAAAAGGCCTTAAGAAAACAGGAAGAACAACGTCACGTATCAGTGTCACTCTAGAAGACCTCCAGTACTTCATTAACTTCATTCGGATTTTCCAGTATCTTTGTGCAGTAAAAACATCCCGCTTGAGGCCAAGTAAACTCGAGTTAGGCGAGACCGAACGAAACGTTTTAAAGCAAAGTTATCGGTAGCTGGAAGAATGACAGACTTATAGACGAGTATTTCAGGCACTTAGAAAATCTCTCCCCCATGTCCTTGGCTACAGCGTGCTTCACTGTGGAGTCTGCATTGAGAAACAGCTTTCTTTCCCAGCACAATACAGCGTGTAGAACAACCGCAGTTCGACAAGGCAAAAGACTAGATAAGTACATTCAAACACGATTCTTTAAAGGGATTTCAGGTACCTTCCTACGCAAACGACAAGCTCTTTATCTACAGTGAAGTCGGGTTAGCGTTCTACTAATGCCCTTCTAAAGTTCTCCTAATGTTTCTGATGGACCGATGTTAAAGCCACGATCAAACGTCATTATAACGGCACCAACTTTGGAATTTAATTACCGTTGAAAGTGTTTTTTTAAAAAAAATTTTAAAAGCACTTCACTGGATACACAACAATGAAGTTACAATAAAGAAACAACGCTCATTCCACTCACAAAACTACCATAGCATTTCCAATTAGTGGATATGTTACTAATAATATACTGATGGCAATTTTATCCCCAATGATCAATGCTTTATATTTTACATTTAGTCCCCCAATTTTATTATATATGGTTGCATCCATCATAATACCATGTTTTTGGACAATACCATTGAATTAAAAACTACATTAGTATTTCCAATTTGTGGATGGTACTAATATATTCTGATTTTATTCCCAATGATCAGTGCTCTACATTTTACATTTGGTTCCCCAATCTTGAATATGGTTGAATCCTTCATAATACCATTTGTTTTGGACATTACCATGGTACGAACCACTTTTGGACATGGTAATCATGGAAACACCACAGTATACTTGGATCAAGTGAATGCAATGATATATGAAAGCCATCTGAAACTTACTATACCACGGTACCACCACAATCTATTTTCATAAGGGCCCCGATTTCCTCCAGAACTTGTTCCCAGCATCCTGTTTTCCATTTCCTCTCTTCTCCTGCCGTCTTTCTATCCTCTAGCTCTCCCCAGGGCTTTGCTTTGCTGGACACGGCAGTCAGCCGTAAGAATGAGACCAGTAACAGTGACATCTGTAATTTTCTGCTTGCGACCGGCCTGAATTACTGTGCACACACAATAATATCACTGAGCGCTAATGGCCCTACCGCCACAGTGCAAGGGGAAGCTGAAGTTCCTCATCAGGATGTATATTTTCTGTCCTGGACGTCAAGAGTTTGGATTCAGGGATGGAACCTTACGTTTACGAAAACACACTGGCCATCTCGTAGACTACATGATGACTAACACAGGGCCCGGGAGCCTCTTTTTACGCACGGTGAATTACGACATCGACAAAGAGCCTCACAAGTAACGTTACCGACAAAAGACTCGGATGGAGGTATCGACTACGTCCCTCGACTACAGATCCGAGAATCACGTGACAAGCACCACACCAGCACTGCTGTGCTCTACGACTCAACGATTCACAATTTAATGTGCACGAGTTTTAACGCAAAAACAAACCGAAAAATGCACAGGATTACAATAATAGTTTTAGAATGTTGGAAGAAATGTCCCGTCGTTTCACTAATAAAGGGTACACCACGCCTTTTAAAGGCCGTAAAATGATTCGCGATTGTAGCTAATGTGCACATGCCTGGATTATCGTTTGTCTTACAAAACTTGGTAGCATCAGAACATCGAAGGTTTTTTACAAATCATTGGAGTCTATCAACATTTGCACCTGAGATTTGAATTCTCAAAATACCTGTACTGGTCATTAGCGCTGCTTAATGATCTGTTCCATCTAGTAAAAAAAAAAAAAAAGCCTGAAAACAAGTTCTCGCTCTAAAGGTGGGATTGGACCACGTTTAAAGGACAACTTTGCGATTGTTTTAATGCCACCTGGACGTCGCGCTTAAAAGACTCTCTCTCTCGTAAGGACAAAGTGTTGGGAGTGTATCACAAATTGTTCTAAATACATACTCAGAAACAGGAACGCACATTGGAAAAAGAGAAGACAGGTGTAGTACGCTAGACGACATTTACGATTCGTATCAGATTAATCAACATCCTGGTTTAAGGCCCGTTCACGCTAAGAATGATAACTATACCGATAACCATATTAGCATCCACACCAACGATAACGTTCTGTATATTATAAGGGCGTGCTGCAGTTTTGAATGCTCAAGCTCTTTAAAGCCAGATGGGTTCTGATTGCCTGTAGATGCTTTTATCATTCACCTGGAAAACACTGTTCTAACAATATAGCTCCTCAATGCCATTATCGTTGTAGCTGTGGTGCGAACTTCCATGTTCTCTTATAGTTAGCATTATAGTTATCATTCTTGGTGTGAACGGGCCTTTAGTCTCTGGGATTGTGTGAACTTTGTAAAGTCACACGACCGTGCTGATGTCCTCCGGTTCGTCCGGTTTCTTGGGCTTGCTGGGAAGCGATTTCAGGTACTCAAGGTGTCGTCTTGCGTCTTCTTGGTTCTGCCGTACATAGTACACAACATAAGAGATGACCATCGCGAACCAGCCAAACATGGTCACCAACATGGCGTAGTCGGTGGTCCGCTTGGCCAGGTTGCACAAGTCTGCATCCACGGCCAGGAACGGCTGGCCCTCTTGGTCCCTCAGCTCTGAACTACGGCACAGCACGCGCGTGGCAGCCTCATGGTTGTGCGCCATGCCACCCAGCGCCTGCTGCAGGGCGCAGTCGCAATGCCAAGGGTTATTGTCCACCATCACACGTGCCTTCAGCCGTGCGAACGCGTCCTTGTGCACGCTAGTGATTCGGTTGTGGGAAAGGTCCAGCACTTCCAGAGAGCCCTCCAATCCGACGAATGCCCCCTCGCCGAGGGTTTCCACTGCATTATGGGAGAGATTGAGCCTCCGAAGCATCCTCAAGCCATGAAATATGCGATCGGGCACCAGAGATATGTGGTTTCGGTCCAGCTGCAGCAGCTGGGTGTCTGGGGGGACGTCGGGCGGGATCTCCTTCAAGCGTGACAGACTACAGGTGACGTTGAGGCCGTGCGGAGGGCTTTCAGAGCGCTGACAGGTGCAACCCTTGGGACAGGTGCTGGCAGACGGAAAGCACAGGACCATGAGCACCAGGCTCTGCAGCAGCAGACACATGGGGATGGAGCGCGAAAGCCACAGGTCCAACGGCGTCATGCTGACAGGCAGTCAACATACTGGACGCCCGGGCCGTTCACGGGAGCCCCATAATGGGACCGCGCGTCATCACCAAGAGCCGTGGGTCTCGTCAACTCTCATCGTCTGTTTGAGCCTGCGGAGGAAGAAGACACAGTGAACGCATATACGCTAACAAGTCGACAAGCTAATTTATGGGTGGGAATGACACCTCTCCTCCATCCACTCTCGAACAGAATGTGCCACTGAACACAGGGAACATACAGACCTCAGAGAGGCTTGTCAGAGAAACTGACATCAGTGTAACACTAAGCGCTATGTGGCTTACTAAAGTCTAAGCAAAATCTACTGACAGCTTCATTAATGGATAATGTATGTACAATTTCCGTTTTTATGTTTTAATGAATTCTGAGTAAATATAATGAAAATAACTGTTTGCTTATATCAGGAAATTGGTGCACATCTGAGTTTTATATAAATCTACTGACAGCTTCATTAATGGATAATGTATGTACAATTTCCGTTTTTATGTTTTAATGAATTATATAATGATATAATGAAAATAACTGTTTGCTTATATCAGGAAATTGGTGCACATCTGAGTTTTATATATATATATATATATATATATATATATATATAGGCTGCATTTATTTGATCATAACAGTAATATTGTGAAACATTATTACAATTTAAAAGAACAGTGTTCTCTTCAAATATATTTTAAAATGTAATAGTAAAAGGTGCCGTTCAAGAAACATTTCTGACTATTAACAATGTCGAAAACAGTTGTGCTTACACGTGATCCATGTATTTTTTTCTGGATTTTCTTTTTTGATGAATAGAAAGTTCAAAAGAATAGAATTTATTTGAAATAGAAATCTTTTATAACATTACAAATGTCTTTAGTATCACTTTTGATCAATTTAATGTGTCTTTGCTGATACACAAACACACACACACACATATATATATATATATATATATTAGAGCCCGACCGATATATCGTTTTGCTGATATTATCGGCCGATATGATCCTGTCACCGATATATCGGTATCGGCGAATATGCCGCCGATATGAATTTTTTTTTACAGCGCATATAACGCAGATAAAATGCTTGAAATGGTGTAATTACTTAGTTTGTCCAGCAGAGCGCACTCTATTGTTTGCTACTGGCTACCTGGATGAAACGCTTTAAAGCTTATGTCTATGGGAAACCATTGAAACTTTGAACGGCCATATCTCCGTAACGGCACGGCGAATCCGCACCAAATTCGGGGGATCTCTTCAGCTCAAGGAACGCTCGAATGCAAATCCAGTGTACTTCTAGAGACACGCTTTCGAATGAGACCACCCCCGCGTCGATAGCCCCCGGGGTTCGGGAGTTACAGGCGGTTAAATTCTCGGTCCGGTGCCGACCAATCTAGCGATCCCGGGGGGCTACCGACGCGCGGAGAGTGGCGTTCGAGAGGGCTCCTCGAGCTGAAGGGATCCCCCGAATTTGGTAGAGATCCGCCGGCGCGTTCGCGAGACAGTGACACCAGTCAACACTTTCCCTTCAGTAAGGAGGTCTCTTGTTCAGGCAGCATTCACGCGTTGTCTTATTCGACCGTAAGTGCCCTGCGAAGTGGACTTCACATGAAATTCTGCCATGATTCCAGGTCCAAGGAAACGTACATTACATTCAAAGAGCATTAAATTGCATGAGAAGTTAATTTATATTTAGGGATGCACCGAATGTTCGGCAACCGCAGTGTGGAAGCATTTAATTTTGTTCGGTTCTGGCTTCGGCCAAGAATTTTCATTTCGGTGCATCCCTATTTATATTGTATTTATTTACAGAGGTATATTATGTCACACTTCTCTAGTAAGTTTCGTCTGTGTGTGAAGACAGTAGCGCAAATCCGTGAATGAATGTTCCGAAGTGAAAAACTTCAACGGAATAAAGTTGAATGGAATTGAATTGAATTAAAGTTGAATAAACTTCAACTTTACTGTTCGGTGCACTGATGTCAGACTCATTTTGGATAATAAAGTTTATTGTTAAATTGTTAAATGCCCTGCCTCCATCATTAGATATCTTTGTCACATCATTATAAGTGTTTATGTATATACATAAAATGTGTTTATGTATATACTGTATTCTATATATAGTACCAGTCAAATGTTTGGACACACGAATGGGAAAGTGTCCAAACTTTTGACTGGTATTGTACTATAATATACAGAAAGAATATCGGCCGATATATCGATATCGGCCTTTTTTTTTTACTCCCTAATATCGGTATCGGTATCTGCCCCAAAAAACCCATATCGGTCGGGCTCTAATATATTATATATATATATATATATATATAGTAAATTATTATAATATTATATATATATATATATATATATATATAATATAAAATCAGCCTTAAATAAACATTGGGCACTGAAAACATTGTTTGATCATTAGTATTTACTAATTTTTAATTAAAACAGATGTGATTTCATGTATGATTTGACAAACAGCACATATATGCAGACAAAATGAATACAGTGGGCCTATAACAGAACGTACACAATTATTTGTGCATTCAGTAATCATAATTCATCACTAAAAATTTATATTTTTTATGAAACTACATGCATGCAAAAATCACAGATTCACAGACAGTTATTTAGAGGCATTTAGTGTCAACTTCGACACCTTGTTGTGCCTGACAGATATTGCTCTTATTGTATATAATAATACATCACATAATTGGATAGTTACATATAAAAAAACATTTCCCTCCTTAAATAGCTTCAGTATAGGTATCTAAGGGATAATTTACAGCCAATCAGGCATTATTGCAAAATAAACCCCCTCAGATTAACACACTACTGATCACCCCGTCAGGGTTTATTTATTAAAGTAAAATATTTTACCAATCAACAGATCAATAAGTGAACAACTCCAATCCCAGACTGCAGTTTAACTACTTTAAATTAAACAGATAGTCTGACAAACAAAGCAGCGTCATGAAGACACTCATTGAGACATTACAGTTAAGGTCACCGAACATAAACCGGTTTTATTTCAGGCGGGGAGGGAGAGCTATAATTAACACACAGTAACACATGCTGCTCACATACATACAGTACATGACGCCAATCACAGACTGATGTAAACAACTGAAAGGTGAGAGATAATAGCAGCTGGAAGTCTGTGTCACCTGCACATTTCTGAGCACGCTGCATTTAGCACACGGAAATATCAGCGGACTGATTTATCTGACAAAAACATGCTCGTTTACAGAGGCATGCACATCTGGACCTTTTGTCTGCATCATGCATTTGAAGCAGTTTCTAATTTTAGAGCTGAAAGACAAATGCAGATAAATCAATAGTGATGTAAAAATAAGTATCCCAGGAGTCTTGACATGACGCGCTCAGTGATTGTTCACTAGAGCTGAGTTGAGTGTGAGTGTGTGTGTTGCCCGAGGCTTTTGAGGACCAGTGTGGACTGACTGAATGACACTCAGGCCCCTGTCCAGCTGATGTAATGCGTGGATATGCCACATGGGTTATATGATGGCAGATCTCATGCTCTTTGGTGCAAACTATTACAACTGACAGGCCATCACAGAAAATGAGAGAGAAAAAAACGTGTCACTCTCATAAACTGTCAACAACAAAACTACTCTGTGAATGGAGACAAATTCTAGATTAATCCTAAAAGGAATTAAAGGGGTCGGTCATATGATACGATTTCAATTTCTCCTTTCTCTTTGGAGTGTTTCAAGCTCTTGGTGCATAAAGAAGATCTGTAAAGTTGCAAAGACTAAAGTCTCAAATCCAAAGAGATATTCTTTATAAAAGTTCAGAGTCAGCCACGCCTACCTAAAACGGCTCGTTCTAACACGCCCCCAACATGTCTACGTCACTATGTGGGAAGATTTGCATAATGCCGGCCAAATTTTCAAGCAAAGAAAGAAGGCGTAACTTTTATTCTCGCTGTAGTATTGTTATTGCTGCCGCCATGTCGTGAAGACGCTGTGTGTTTCGTTAAAAAGACAGTATAAGTCATTATAATCCGTAATTATGTCCCCACTGGATGCAACAAATGCCTCGTTTATAATGGGTTTAATGTTTTTGTCTCGTCGCTCCAGCCTGACACGGCATCACAGTATGGTAGGGGCATAACATTTTCGTCACACACTTGAGGTATTCGGCGAATCACAACGCAACTCGCTTTTCAGACCGATGAGCTTTGTAAAACTTGACGCGTTTCAGAAAGGCGGGGCATAGAGGAGAAACAATAATGTACAGTATGTGGAAAATAGTGTGTTTTTTGAACCTTAAACCACATAAACACATTTCATTACACCAAATACACAAAATAATGTTATTTTTAGCAACATCATATGACCCCTTTAAACCCAGAAGGCAAATACAAATAGATGATATTACGACACGGCTTTCTGGAATGATTCTGATTGGACAATCATGGCATTCAGCTGTCAAAATAAATGCATTATTGCCCGCCCACTTTTTCAGCTCTGGAAGGGTTTTTCCACTCATTTTACCCATAGGGATTAAAAAAAGGTCTTGGTTAAAGCGTTATGAGCCATTAACCAAACCAACCAGCTCAGAGATGAATCACAACCTTACAAACTTTGATTTGAAGTAAAAAAAAAAGTATCTGAAAATCAGACAAAAAGACTCAATGAGGAAAAGAACTACAAATTCCATAAACGCTTAACCTTGGTTTTGCTACACTAACCATAGTTTAACCATGGTATTAGTAGTAAAACTGGTTACACAGATGGCACTCAATATGCCAAAAAAATGGTTACTACACTTTTACTATAATAAAACCATGTTTATGTTTCATAAGGGAAGCATTGTGAATGATGTAATTGAAAAACAATGGTGAAATATAATACTATTCCTCTAAAGAATTAAAGAAACAATACATTTTAAGTTCTGCAAAATATTCATAGGTATATAAATATTGAAGTATTTTGATCAATTTGATTACGTAATTTGTGTTCCCTGCTAGCTTTTTGATGCAATTTGCTCACTGCGACTCCTTGCTTGGTGGGATTTTCTCTACAGCATTGTGGGTAGTGTAGTTTTTCACCAACACAATTATTTAAAAAATAAATTACAATAAAATGAGAAGATAGATTCACTACAAGCATATACCAACGATTAACGACCTCTGAGCTCACAGTAGATCTGTCTTTACAGGTTTAAGAGTTAACATTAAAAATTAATTGCCATATGGAAAAAATAAATGGAATTTTTATTTCCAGAACCCGACTATCGCACTATGTTCCTGATTAATGACTGTTGCCCATGGCAACAAAGCATAAAAGACCACTCATCCAGGAAACTGATGTTTCCAATAAAGCTGTGCTCATATTCTAAGTAGTAATCTAATATAATAATTTCCTCTCAAATCAATAATCCATGTCTATTTTTTCTATATTTACCCGCCTCACGTCAGGGTCCTGATCACACTGTCTGGGTTTATTCTGCCATTATGATGTGCTGATTGTATATTATCCCTCTTACTTATGAACCATCTGGGCTCTCCATCACCATTTGTTGTTTAAACACAAAACTGCAGTTTCTTATTGAGAAACATTTTTAGTTTGACTCTTCTGCATGGATGAATCTGATAGTTTGAGGTTTATGGCCTGAGATCACCATAAGTTTTACAAGACCTCAGACCAAGCAGGCCTTATTTTCTGTTTATTGAAATAACAAAATATCTAGCAGCTGTATCTTAAATGTTACTTGTGGGATATTACGTAGGCAACAATATATTTCACAGTTATGTTAAAGGGAATTTATAAGTCGATACACATTTTTTACTAGACAATATTAAAATATGATTATATTAAAATTACACATACTGTTAAATTACCAAAAATAAGTATATCATTTAATATAAATATACAGTTATAGTAAAGGAAATTCATATGGGGATTCAAATATTTTACTATTAAAATATAATTATATTAAATAAAAAATATTAAAATATGACTATAAAAATTATAAATAGTTAAATTACACAATTTACATAATTGAATGTAATATAAATAAACAGTAATAGTAAAGGAAATAATAAAGTGACTCACACTAAAATGATTATATTAAAGTAAAAATGCATTAAAATTATAATATTAAAATGAAAATTACATATTGTTAAACTACAAAAATTGTATTTAATATAAATATATTATAATATTATTAAATAGAATTTAAATATATATTTTTTAATTTTATGTTACAGCTAACCAAATAGGTCTTCCTTAAGAATTATTATATATTTTCCTGTTAAAATGACCAATAAGAAAGGGGTGGGGTTTAAGCAGAATTAAATGACTGGAGAAGTCTGTCATTTTACCATCCAGTTATGACAATTTATTTATTCATATTATTATTTTTAAATAAACAAATGCATTAAAGAATCATTCACCATAAGGTCAATAACATGCATTAAGAAAAGGTGTGCTGTGATTGGCCAGCAATCCAGTGCGTTGTGATTGGCCGAATACCTCAAGCGTGAGACGGAAATGTTACGCCCCTCACCATACTGTGATGCCCTGTCCAGCCGGAGCGACAAGACAAAAACATTAAACC